TGATTACTGATATCCCTACATGGCATTGAAAGCCTCTTGGTTTCTTCTTGTTCTTCTTCTAGTTCTTTCTTTCTTTATTTTTTTGTGTGGGATGGTCGTAGTGGTGTGTCAGTAAGAATGCCATCCTTGTTCCAATTTCGAAAGCAAAGTTAATTTGTTGCAGATACTGAAACGGGTGAACAATAAAGCTTCTGGGTGGACTCTTTCACGCCAGGTGCCGAGTGCAGCGGCCCTCCATCAGCAGCAGCTGGGGAGGCAGGGCTCACAGCAGGGCTGAGTGCAGGTGGTGAGGTTGATGGTCTCCAGACACGGGGTGGGCTGGCAGGAGTTGAGCAGGAAGCAGGTGGGCACACAGGGCTGAGGGATGTGGCAGGGCGGGGGGCAGTTGTCACAGCAGGTGGGCTCCAGCAGCCAGGTGGTGTGCGGGCAGGTGCTAGGCAGGCAGACTCCGCAGCGGCAGCACTTGTCAGAGGAGCAGATGGTGGTGGCGGGGCCGGTGGGGACACTGCAGCAGCAGGGAGCACAGCAGGCCATGGCGGCGGGACTCGGTGGTTTTTATTGGTTCGGTTTCAAGACAATGAGGTTTCTGAGACACGGATGTCTCCTGGCTCTGGGGTTCTTATATACCCTCCCCACTGGGTGTTGTCCAACCAGAAGGCTTCTTTCCTGGTTCTTGTTTATGTTATTGTGTCCATTATCCTTTGACATTTAGATGCTTGTAAATAGTTTCTATTCTCCTAATTAACCTTTACGTGAGTTCCTGGCTAATTCTGAGCTGATTACTCTTTCTGTTTGTCACGGGAACAGAAGCTTTATGAGGTATCACCAAAGCCTTCTGCTATTATAAGTCCAACACAGCCCTGCTGGGGAATATTGCATCATAGTACCCCTGTGGTCTAGTGCTGGTCAGTTTTTATTCTTCTTATCTTTATCTGCATCCATTGATCTGATGAAGTATTCATTGACCTATGAACCAGGAGATCAGGGCACATGCCCGGGTTGTGAGCTCAATCCCTATCAATGTGAGGTGTGCAAGAAACAGCCGATCAATAATTCTCTCTCACCATTGATGTTTCTATCTTTCTCTCCCAAGGTCTTTCCTCTCTGAAATCAATTTTAAAAAATAGACAACATCCTTGTTCTCATAGAACTTAGAGTCTGATAGAAGTTCTGTCACACACATAATATATTATTATAAATTATTGTTGTTATACATTTTGATATAACAAAAGAAGACTGGATTTTAAGAGCAGAAAAACATTAAGCAGAAGGAAATTATTTTGAAAATTTTAAGAAAGACATTACAAAGGGGCTTGCAGACTTCCACAATTGGAATTTCATGATAGAAAGATATCCATCTCTTATGTAGAATACAGTGTGACTTTGAATCAAAATTATAAGGCTAAAAGAATTGTTACTGTTCTGTGTAAAGTATTGACTTAAGAATACACATTAGAAACAGTTGTAAAATAAATCTATGCTAATAAATTCATCTCTTTTATTAAAAAGACTTGCAATAGTTTATTAAAATTTATTTTCTCTGCAATGGTTAAGAGACCTGAGAATTACTTTCCTGTTTCCACATTAGGATAGTGAGTCAAAGAGAAGTGAGATAATTTGCCATAGGTGGTCCGGTGACTGACTTGTTAAACACTAAATATAGGACCTATAAGGATAGAGCTACTTTTTATGTGGTTTAAAATGAAGTCTATAGTATGTGTCAGAGGCACTAAACATTTTATTTTTAGGAACAAAGGGTATTTTTTTTCCTTTAAGTAAATGTGGGAAAACCATGATGACTCCTATTAGATGGTAGATTTTCAAAGTGCTAAAAATCCACACACACACACACACACACACACACACCCTGGAACATGTCCAGTTTTTTTTTTTTTAAATAAATCTTTATTGCTCTGATTATTACAATTGTTTTTCCTTCCCCTCCATAGCTCCCTTCCACCTGGTTCCCGCCCCACCCTACATGTTCAGTTTTAAGTATGCCATTCTATAAGCAACAGGGACATCTGTGACAGTGAAGGCAAAAATTAAAGATTGACAATAAAAAGAAACAGAAGTAAAATATGATTGTTAGTTTCTTGCTTCAAATCTCTCATTGCTTTGAAGTTTTTATCTAGACCCCTTCCTCTGGGGAGCCATCACCCTGGGCCTTTCCATTTTTTCTCTCCTGCTTGCCTCATCCTCTTATCCTCGTGGTCACTACATCTATGAGTTACTAAGCTGCTGTTCTGCCTGAAACAACTGCTCCCCACCCCTCTGCCTTGTAATGCTCAGCCTGGATAGCTCGGAGCTTTCCATAACCATTCCTCACCCTGATACTGAATCACCAGATCTGGGCTTTCGTTACTCTGTGCATGTTCGCGTGCTTGCTGCTCACATTTCAGTCACAGCAGAAATCCCACAGCATTATAATTATATTCACTCAACATATATAGAGCATGTAAATCATGATTATAATAACTCTCCCAGATTTGAGAGAAACTTGAGGACACTTTAAGTAATCACATTTCTTTTATCTTTATACTTCTAGAATGGATATGGTGCCTAGCACAGGGGAAGCACTCAAGAAATACTGGCCAAAGGAGTGAGTAAATGGACTAAATCCCTTGTTGATTTGTGTCCTGGCTTCTAAGTTCTGTTTGTTTAAAGATGTGCTGCTAATAAGCTTTGGGGTCCTCTGAGAAACTCTTCCCTGGAGAGACTGACAGGTACACTGAGGACATTTTTCACTTTTAAAAATATTTTTAATTTTTTTCAATTATAGGTGATATACAATATTATATTAGTTTCAGGTATACAACCAAGTAATGAAACATTTATATAACTTACGAAAACATCACCTCAATAAATCCAGTACCCATCTGGCACCATACATAGTTATTACAATATTACTGACTATATACTATACATCCTCATGACTATTTTGTAACTACCAATTTGTACTTCTTAATTCCTTCACCTTTTTCACCCAGTCACCCAAAATCCTCCCCTCTGACAACTGTCAAATTGTTTTATGTATCTATGAATCTGTTTTTGTTTTGTTCATTTATTTTGTTCTTTCGATTGGCATATGAATGAAATCATGATGTTTATCTTTCTCTGTCTGACTTATTTCACTCAGCATAATACCCTCTAGGTCCATCCATATTGTCACAAATGCCAAGATTTCATCATTCTTTCTTATAGCCTCGTAATATTCCATTGTATATATGTGCCACTTCTTTATCTATGCATTTATTTTTACCTACTTAGATTGCTTCCATATCTTGGCTATTGTAAATAATGATGTAAATAATAATGAACATATGGATGTTTATGTCTTTTTTAATTAGTTTTTGGGTTCAGATAAATGCCCAGAAGTGGAATTGCTGGGTCCTTCTTTGTCTCTTGTTATAGCCTTTGCTTGAAAGTCTATTTTGTCTGGTATAAGTATTGCTACCCATGCTCCCCACTCCATTTTCATTAAATATTTTTTTCATCCCTTTACTTTCAGCCTGTGTGTCTTTCTATCTGAAGTGAGTTTCTTGTAGACATGTTAGCGTATGTGCGGATATTATGTTCTTATCCATTCAACCACTCTATGTCTTTTGATTGAAGCATTTAATCAATTTGCATTTAAAGTAATTGTTGATAGATATGTATTTATTACTGCCTCCTCCTCCTTCTCTCCTCCTCTTCTCCTCAGCTCCTCCCCTTCTCTTCATCCCTCTCCTCCTCCACTTCTTTTTCCTCTCCTGCCTCTTCTCCTCCTTCCCTGTGCTGGCGACTTTGGTGTAGGGCTGGGACTCCACACTCCTCAGGGGGGACCTCTATAACAGATATTCCTTCTGGTTTTAAACAGCCACACATCGGGGTGGGGCCAGCTCCTTCCATGTCTCAGCCTCTCCTGCCTATTTCCAGGTGGCTTCTTCTAAATATCCTTAGTTATATGACTCTGTGCAGCTAGACTCAGTGATGGTTGTTCTGTAGTTCAGTTATAATTTTGGTGTAGTTGTGGGAGGATGTAAGTAGTACTGCATTTACCTACCTACTCTGCCATCTTGACCAGAAATCACACTAAGGACATTTAAAAACATGCTTTGTAAAGGCATTCTCTTCCCTCCTTCCTGGCTCTACCTTTTTTTTTTTTCTTCACATGCACTGTTTTGGTTTAGTTCACTACCTTTTCAGATTTTGACTTGTGCTTTTATATATATATATATATATTACATGTAATTTATATATAATATGCCATATTGCATCTTCTATAATAATAAAAGGGTAATATGCCAATTAGACCTCTGTGCTGAGGATGGTGGAAGGTAGAGAGGTATATTCCTAGTGCCCTGCTACTAGAATGACCATTTGATATCTTCCTAAGGAAAAATGAAGTCAAAATTGGTAGGCCCACTAAATGACCCAGATCTTAGAATTGAGTACCTGTCACTTTTAATCCGTGAGCTAATCTATCTTTTTCTATTACAATTGGATAAGGTTTTGTTAAGATTCTTACACTTTTTATTTCTCATGCATATTTTCAGTCAATGTCATAACTCTGTTCATTAAGCTTCTGGTGCTTTTGGCATTGGAGCTTCTGTGACGTGGTAGAAATAATTGGCCTTCAAAGTCACACATGCAAGGAACTGTGTTCTGCTTTTCTTAGTAACCAACTTTATGACTTTGAGAAGGTTGAATAACCTTAAAGCTACATCTTCCTCATCTGTTAGTGCTATTTTAAAGATCACATGAGTTAACACATGTAATCTACCTGGCAAAGGATAGGTAAAAAAATGTTGGCTCACCCCCAAAATGGTAGTTTTCTGAGTAAGAGGAGATAGGAGGTGAACATAAAAGATTACCAATTAAAAGTTAGCAAGCCATGTTAGTAAGCTCGTTTTAGTCCTTCCTAATAGATTCTTTTAAAAAATAACAAAATAATCATCTTACTTTTATCTTTTTAAAAACATGAAAAAAATATAAAAAACACAAATAAAGAACACATATTGCCAGAGAAACAAAGTTTATTGGAAAACCCATTATGAATTTTTCCCCCCGCTTTATGAAAATATCCAAGACAAGAAATGGAATCCAGGAAGCAACATGACCAAGAAAATATTGTCTGAAGTCTCGCAGATTGTAATGTCTTTTGACAGTAGATGATAGTCACCTGCCCAAATGAATCAAATGATTACCCAGCCAAATAACCATAACCATTTTAAAATTTTCCTTTCCATTAAAATGAAAGGTAGGTTTTCCGTACTTGTGCCCTCTGGTCTGCCTCGACCTCTGATAAACTACTGAGGCAAGTGAATCCTGAACAGACAGCTCCTGGGTCCTTCATCCTCAGGCGCCGAGTGCAGCGGCCCTCCATCAGCAGCAGCTGGGGAGGCAGGGCTCACAGCAGGGCTGAGTGCAGGTGGTGAGGTTGATGGTCTCCAGACACGGGGTGGGCTGGCAGGAGTTGAGCAGGAAGCAGGTGGGCACACAGGGCTGAGGGATGTGGCAGGGCGGGGGGCAGTTGTCACAGCAGGTGGGCTCCAGCAGCCAGGTGGTGTGCGGGCAGGTGCTGGGCAGGCAGACTCCACAGCGGCAGCACTTGTCAGAGGAGCAGATGGTGGTGGCGGGGCCGGTGGGGACACTGCAGCAGCAGGGAGCACAGCAGGCCATGGCGGTGGGAAGCTGGTGTGCTTTTGGTTTTCCCTAAAGAGAGCTGAGGTTTCTGAGATGCAAATGTCTCCACTGGCTTTGGGGCTCTTATATACGCTCCCCAAATGGGTGTTGGTCTAACCAGAAAGCTTCCTCGTCTTGTTTATGCCACTCTTTCCCACTAAGATTCCCTAATCAGTTTGGAATTTACTTGTCCATTAAGAGTCCTTACCCTTATTAAAGTAATCATCTTTTTTTACTCATAGACTTGTCATTTTTTTGTGGTAAGATGATTACATTTTGCCTTCACTGGGTCCTGGCATGGCAAATCTTACATACATTATGGATCATCAGACCAAGTGACAATTCAGCTATAGTTTCAGAGGTGATGAGTACAGGCATCTAACATATTTTCCTTATTTATTGATAACATAATTCAGGTTCTGTTGAGCAAGCAGGGTGACATCCATATGGAATAAAATGAAACCTCTTTTTATTATTTTCAATAAATCTGTAGTAAGTTTCAAAAGGTGGTGGTACTTTATGGGTTTTAAATATTTTTTACTGTACTTTTTATTGTTATTATTTATTATTATTATTTTTTGCTGTTGACACTGTTACAGATGTCCCCTATTTTTCTTTCTCTTTGCTCACCTCCACCCAGCCCCTTTCCTCTCCCCTGCCCTTCACCACACTGTTGTTTGTGTCCACGTGCTGAGCCCATATGTTCTTTGGCTAATCTCTTTACTTTTTATCATCCCCTCCACCTCCTCCTCTCTGATAGCCATCAGTCTGCTCCATGGATTCATGCCTCTGGTTCCATTTTGTTCATCAGTTTATTTTACTCATTATTCCACATGTGCGATCATATAGTATTTGTCTTTCTCTGGCTGGCTTATTTTTTTTTATAAACAATCTCTATTCTCATGGTTATGTCAGTCTTGTAGTGGGTCAAAGTGTAGATTTACTGGAGGGAAGGATCCACCCAGTTGCTCTCTTTCGTTAAATGTACCATTAAAAGAAAAGCCCCTCAGTCTTCATTCATTTTCACATGAATAATATATTTAACTTTAAAGTAAGATGAAACAGCCCAGCCAGTGTGGCTCAGTTTGTGAATGTCGACCTATGAACCAGGAGGTCGCAGTTTGATTCCCTGTCAGGGCACATGCCCAAGTTGTGGGCTCAATCCCCAGTGGGGGTCATGCGGAGGCAGTCCATCAGTAATTCTTTCTCATTATTGATGTTTCTATCTCTCTCTCCTGCTCCCTTCCTCTCTGAAATCAATAAAAAATATATTTTAAGTAAATAAAAAAATAAAATATGACAAAGCAGAAATCAAAAGGAGAAATCATAAGATACAGGAGGTTCTGGAAAGGGATCTGATCAAATGTGATTTAGAATGTTGACATTCATACAAGTCATTTCTCCACTGACTTGCTTCCTACTTCGAATTTTTGTTTTTGTATCTTGGGTTTTCAATTAGGTTGTAAATTCCTTTGAGGAATGCCCTAAATAACACCGTTCACCTCCGCTGGCCTTGGTTTGCCTGCCAGCAGGATGGCAGATGAGGAAGTGACCCGGATCATCTCCAATGTGGAATAGTCTATGAGTCCAACACCTTCACCTCCTCCCCCATGGTCAGCACAAAACTGTGCAGATAGTGGAACCTAAATCACACAGTTTGTTGAGTGGCAAATGGTTGAATAAACACCAAATACAGATTAGTTGGTGGGTTGTTTCTGAGGGCGCATTCATGATCACCAGCATGGCCTATTTAAGTGGGAAGAATGCTTTTTAGTGGAAAATCTAAATAACACTGGTAAATAAGGCCGTACATTTTATGAGTAAAAGAGCTTGTTACTGTAGTTGGTTTGATTTTGCTTAAATATTAATATTTATCATAAAGTACATCAAATACAAAGGAAGGTTGGAGTCTCCTAGGTACTTTATACTTCTGTGATCCTGATCATATTATTTCTTAAAAATATCCTTCCCCAATTCTCTACTTCTCAACTCTTACCCCTCAGGCATCAGCTCAGATAGCTCATAAAGGAACTTTAGGTGGTTCTTCTTGTTTGCATTCTCTTCTGTGTTCTCACCAAGTGTGTTGCCCATCTTTTCCCGTAGTCCTTGTTTTATTCTGCTCTATATTATAGTTTTTCACTTACCCTGCCCTCCTCACTCCAATGCAAACTCCTCAAAAGTGGGAATCTTGCCTTAATCTTTGTCTTTGCCAAGTACCTAGGACAATGCCTGATACATAGTAGGCATTTGATAAACGTTTATTGAATTGGATTACATTATAGATTTTACAGCAGTAAAATGATTCATTTCACTTGTGAAGTACTTTACCGCTGTCAAACAGTTTTACACTCAAAACTTCACCTAAATTAGACAACGAAAAAAGATGGCTTCTCTCAGTCTTTGGGGCCCTTTCTGTGGCTGTTGACCTCTATGTCAGTGTCTCAGCCTCTTTAAGGATGTATGTAAATTACTTAAAGAGGCAGAGGGAAAAATAAAAATTTAGAGTAGGTACTACCACTCAGAATTTAAAATGATCCTAAGGTTAGAGCTTAATATATTTTATTATCCATACAATTTTTTTCAGGTACTTACATATCATTGTGAGGCTTTCTTTCTGGATGAGGTTTATGTTGATGTCATCAGAAAGTGTACTTCCTCTGGACCCATTCATAGTTTATGATGTATACACGTGTCAAGAGTTGTGGGGTCATTATAGCATTAAACATTGAGACATATGTGGTTTTGGAAGCAGTGGTAGTTCTTTTAAAGTACTAAGGAGGTCCACGATAGCATTTTTCTCTTCTCATTTGAAACCATCTTTCCAAAACACAGAAGGAACACTTCTTCTGCAAAACTGAAGGCACAGAGGCAGAACATTTTCTTCCAGAGCTTCGAATTCAAGACCATTTGCTGAGCAGCCCTTCATGACTATTGCAGTCCCTTGGGGCAATGTGGGAAGCCCTTTGAAAGATCTTTGGCTGGCACTAGGTGCTTCACACTCTCAGGGCTGGATGCAGGTTGGGACAGAGGTCATGCTCAGGTTTGGAGTGGGGTGGTGGCAGTGGAACTGCCTAACAATGGCGCTAGGAATCAGGAACGCGGCAGGGTGGAGGGCAGGTGTCACCGCTGGTGGGCTGAAGAAGGCTAATCTCATGTGAGCAGCTGCTGGGAAGGTTGTCTCCAAATTGACAGCACCTATCAGTGGAGACCCTGTAGCATCCTTGGAGACAAGGCTCCCAGCAAGACATGGGGACAGTGGGTCAGGCAGATTTTTATTGCAAAGGGAGATTTTGTTCTACAAAGTCGTCCTCGGTTGGTCTCTTATATCCACTTGTGTCAGGGAACATGGCCACGGTCCATCAGAACATCAGAATGTTTTCTTACTGTTTGTATAATCCCGTACAGATAACTCAAGAGCTTGCTATTTATCAGCCCTGGGATGGGCTCTCCTGCAGTTTTATTTGTGTTGCTCTATTTCAAACTATTGTCACTCCCTTGCTGATGCTGGTGATTCTGAGGAGATGCAATGATGCCATTTTTTTTTTGAGTGCCGGAAGCAGTTGGAGACAGAAATCTATTGCTTCTGTCAGATAAAGAACTGTTGCTAAAGACCCTTCATTCTTCCTCAGGCCTTGCAGTCTCTCTCTAGCACCCCATATTGGTGGAACCCAGTAGTAAACCAGCCAAAGGAGAGACACGGTCATCACAGAGTATCACAGGTTGGACTTGGAGGTTGACAATTAGCATATACTGTCCTGTGGACGGCACCTAGTATACTTAGTACCCGTTCCTGTACACCCCACACTCAGTTTTCCCTCAATGATAGGATCTTACAATACCATTGTGCATTTGTCAAAAACTAAGATGCCAACATTGGTATATTGTTATTAATTAAATGTCATACTTTATTCAGATATCACTAGTTTTTTTTCACTAATGTCTCTTTCTGTTCCAGGACCCTCTCTGTGGCACCAATTACTACATTAGTTAGTCCTCTCTGGTCAGTGACAAGGTTAGAGCTTAATATATTTTATTAGTTTTTCAGTCTTTCCTTGTTTTTCATCACCTGGGCAGATTTGTGGTATACTCAGGTGTTTTTTAGGATACATACTATTTTTAATCTTACTTAACACTTGAGGAACCTGAGGCATAGACAAGTTAAAAGACATAACCAAGGACCCATAACTAGTAAGTGATAGGTATGACAGCCTAGTTTTGGAGACCACTCTCTTGACCATTATATAGGGGGCATTGCTCTGACTAGAATGTACGTTGCATGTTTCTCCAAAGTTAGTAGCCAGGAAGATTTGTGAAGATGACTATATCAGGTTATTGAGGGCTTTAGAAATGCACTGAAGAACTTGGCTTTGATTCAGTGAAAAAAGACATCTTGAGTCATCCTGGAGTTTTGAGCAACTCAGTTTAAACAATATCAGGGACAGGAGCCTCGTCTGACAGGAATATTGTTCGGGAGCAGGAAGGGGCAGAGAATACTGGACTCAAGGACAACTTGGAAGACTGTGGTTGTCATCAGGGGAGTGGTGGTTAGGGTCTAGGTTAGGCTAGAGTCAGTGAAGGTGGAAGGAAGGTGTCAGGAATAGTTTGAAAGAAAAATGAAATGACTGGTTTTCTATTCTGTTATCAAAGGTAAATAATTATTAGCTTTAAGGTTTGTTTGTTTTTACATTGAACTAGGTTATTAAAACTTATCAGAAAATTGATAATGTGTCTGAGTTGCCAAAGTAACCTTCAATGTAAGGTTAAAGACTCAGCCAGTATTTCTCCTGTACTGATATTGCTAATCGGTATTTAAAGTCTGGCTTAAAAAAAAAAAAAAAGATGATTTGCTTTCACCTTAGAACTGAAAACAGTTTTTTCTAGACTCATTGTATTCACCAGTTTTGTCTTAAGGTACCAGAGAAAGATGAGTTACCATATACAACCAAAGACACAGTTCAGAGGGATAGTAGAGAATGTTGCCAAGGGGGATATACATTCTCCTGAGTAAAGATAGCCACATGTAATCATATTTCTGTCTGCAGAGGAGACAGATACTTTGGTGAAGTGGAAAGAGAAGGGACTTTGGATTCAGGCAGTTTTAAGTTTAATCCCTTCTCTGTTACAGTTTGTGCAACGTTGGCAAGTACCTTTCTCAGCCTCAGTTTCCTGACCTGCAAAGTGAGGAGAATAATGATAGGCACCTCTTAGTGTTTTTGTTAGAAATAGATGACATATGCACATAAAGCACTTATTTGAGTGCCCGATAGATTCACCAAATGTTAGCTATGTCGAATGAAAGCAGTACAATTAATAAGGTGAGATAGGGTTGGTTAATGGTGTGGGATACTTGTTACTTAAAATGCTCTGGATAATCTAGAACCATAAAATGTTAAAACTAAAGTGACTGTAGAGAGAATCTGGTCAACCAACCCATTTTACTGGTTTAAGACCTGAGACCCAAAGAGTTCAAGTGACTTGCTCAGAGTCATAGAGACAGCTGAGGCAGAGCCAAGAATAGTTCACCCTTCTCCTGGTTTGCAGGTGGGCTCTTTAACTAGCCTTGAATGCCTGAAGGTCCACAATGGCAGTCCCAGGACACTTAGAGTTATTTTCAGTATTAAAAATAAAGCCTAAGTATTTATCCCTTACAAAGATATATAACATCAAACTTCTTTGCTTTTGACTAAAAAAAATAAAGTCTAAGTATTTATCCCTTACAAAGATATATAACATCAAACTTCTTTGCTTTTGACTAAAAAAAAAAGGTAACTTGGCACAGTAATAATAGTTCTATTAATCCTAAAACTCTCACTGATACTTATAAATGTATTTATGAACAAAAACAAAAAAGATGATTAAATTAATATTTTTAAAAGCCATTTGGGAAAAGAAAACATTTTTCAAGAAATAAAAGGATGGCCCTAGCCTGTTTGGCTCAGTGGATAGAGCGTTGGCCTGTGGATCAAAGGGTCTAGGGTTTGATTCTGGTCAAGGGCATGTACCATAGTGGCAGGCTCCTCTCCCACCCGGGCCCTAGTCAGGGCTCATGCAGGAGCCTACCAATTGATGTGTTTCTCTTACATGGATATTTCTTTCTGTCTTTCTCTCTCTTTCCACTCTCTGGAAAGAAAAAGAAAAATATCAATGGAAAAATATTCTCGGGTGAGGATTAACTAAAAATAAAATAAAATTAAATAAAAAAATAAATAAATAGATGTCTTTTGGTGATAAGGCTGGGAACCAGTGTGTGGCAGTAATGGTGGAGCCTCTCCCTGTGTCTGGTTTGCTACTGTGTACGCTTTGGGTCATTTGACCCTCACAATAGCCCTAGGACGTAAGCAGAGAAGAGAATATTATTTCTGCTGCAATAACGAGGAAGCAGAGGCTGAGAGAGAAGTGAATGTCTCAAGGTCCCAAGGCAAATCCAAGAAAAATATACAACTAGGCTGCATTTTGTATACTTCCTGCACAAGCCTTCCTGCTCTTTGATTTTTCCAGGACAACCAAGCAGATGAATTACTGGTCATTGCAAAAGTTTGTTGTAGGAGAAAATGTATGTTTTCACGCCCATGATTGTGAGGCTATTTCTGATATATAAGAATACTGCACTAGTCTGATGTTTTTAGTTTATTTCAATGACATGCTATTATATGCCATTTGGACTAGTAAGTTTATAAATATAGTTATGACTAATGGAAGCCAAGCCTAATTTCAGGAAATAAGGAATATTCATAGAAGACAACATATATAAGGAAATGAATATATATACATTTTTGTGTGTGTGTGTGTGTATATATATATATATATATATATATATATATATCCCAAAATTGCATAGCATTTTGAACTTGGAATTTCAGTGATGATTCTGACTAAAGGAATTAAAATTATGTCTACATACTAGCAAAGCGAGTAGTTTGTTTAGTTAGTTAAGGAAGAAAGAAAAATTACTTTTAGGGGTTATAGAAATTAAAATAAAATATTTAAAAAACATAATCTCTATACTCTAGCATAGTGCTTGGTGCAGTGGTTATCTTAAAAAGTACTTATTGTTATAGAAGATTCTACAGAATGACCTACCGAAGTTTTTACTTTTTAACCTACTACAAAGAGCCAATATCTAATTTTCAATGATTCCATCCTGAAAGCTCTCATTCTGCTGAGGGGTGGGAATCTTGGGTAGAAGGATGACCTGCTGTTCAGGTTTAGGTAGGCATTCTACTTTCTCTGAGAGGGAACATGGAATCAATAATCACAAGGCCACGTTTGCTAAGCCAGAATGAAGTTTATTAATGAGTAGTCAACATGGTTATTTCTCAAAGAGCAGTAAAGTAGCCTAAAAGACAGAACAAAGGCTGCCAAGTCTCCCCAGAGGAGGAAAGAACCAAGAAGTTGGACTAATTCACGAAAACACGGCCCAGGGAACAGTACGGAGTTGGCCCGCCGTAGGTAGCTGAAGGCTGGGTGATGTGTGGGACGCCGAGCAGCACATCCTGGAACCTGTCAAAGCCCTGGCGGCCTAACAGCAGGGCTCGCAGGGGCTCTCACAGCAGGGCTGAACGCAGGTCGTCACGTTGATCCCGTACAGGCCGGGAGTCGGGTGGCAGGAGTTGAGCAGCCAGCAAGTTGGCACGTAGGTGTCGGGCTCGCAGCAGGGTGGGGGGCAGGTGTCACAGCAGGTGGGCTGAAGGAGGCTGATGTCATGCGGGCAGGTGCTGGGCAGGCAGACTCCGCAGCGGCAGCACTTGTCAGAGGAGCAGATGGTGGTGGCGGGGCCCGTGGGGACGCTGCAGCAGCAGGGAGCACAGCAGGCCATGGCGTGAAGATGGGGGTTTTTGTTGGGTTGAGGAGAGAAGTCTCTTAGTGTCTGGGTGCTTCTCTCTTCTGCTCTGGTGCTTATATACCCACCTCCCTGGGCGTCGCCCTATTAGCAAGGTTTCCTTCCCCATGTTTCACCTTCTAGCTATTTCCATAAAAACTGTCTAATTACTTAAGTGTTTATTTGTCATGGCACCAGCATGTCCTTTCAGTGTTCAAAGGCACCAAGTGATGGTCTTCTAATCATTGCATATCTGTTAATGACGGCCTGGCATGCTCACCCCCATGTCTTTCGTCTTCTTTCACAGGAAGAGAGAAGTAGGCTTTTTGATTGCTTTCCTGCCAGCAACTATGTGATACTTTTTGCTTTATGGCTTAAAAGTGATAAGGTTTGTAGATTTAGTCTTTATTTATTTGTAGATTTATTCATTTTTGTATTTTAGTTTTCATAGATCAGCTTTATAGGTTAGTGTTCAGTGGAACACTCTTGGGAGATTCCCAAATTACATCTAAACCTCTACGATCTTAATAATAAAATGATTATTATTTTAGCCTGTTTGGCTCATTGGATAGAGTGGCGGTCTGTGAACCAAAGGGTTCCTGGATTTGATTCCAGTCAAGGGCACGTGCCATGATTGCAGACTCCTCCCCAGCCCAGACCCTGGTCCTGGCTCCTTTAGGAGGCAACCAATCAATGTGTTTCTCTCACATCGATGCTTCTCCGTTTTCCCCCCTCTCTTCCACTCTCTCTAAAAATCAATGGAAAAATATTCTCATGTGAGGATTAACAAATAAATAAATTCAATTACTTAATTTTAAAGACATAAAACAGTATGATGTTTTAGAATTACTTTAAAGTAGGAAAAATAGTAGTTGGTAAAATTTTAGGTGTGTGTTAATTTGAAAGTCTTAAAAATGTATATCTTTTCTGACCCATCTTCAGATGAAATGGTCCAGGCTTTGAAAAATAATTTAAAATTGCTCAATATAGAGGAGCCAGAAATCAAAGGGCACGCAAATCAGCAAGATGCTGGATGCAAAGGATGCTTGACATGAAAACTGCTTTCATTTTAGTCATTTTCTTACTAGAATAATTTCTGCTGGAAATTAGCTTTTTCTTTAATAGGTATCTCTTTGTTCAACCAGACACTTGTTGGTTCGGTACCTGCTGTAAGTCAGACAGCATGCAAAAAGGAAGCAAATAGGTTTTTGTCTTTGAGGAAGTCACAGAGGCGAAAACACAGAGGAGTGAGCTGCCAATGACAGCACAAGGCGGTGCATTCAGGTTTTCTGGGTAAGGAGTGGGAATTTAGAGCTGGGGTCACTGCCTGAGAGATTTGGGGAGAACTTCATGAAAAGAAAACATGTGTGTGGGTGCTGAAGCCAGTAAAACTGCTCTGGTATATTCCTGGGATGGTGGAAGTATTGGCTGGCGAAGGCACAGATTCTGGGTCTCCGTTTGGGAGGTGTTGGAGGAGAATGGTGAGAGACAGCATTGGAAAAATGGGTTAGTGCCACGGTGAGAAGAAGTTTGTGTAGTATCCCACACTCATGACCTTTAAATACATCCTGTTGCTAGTGAGCATTCCTGGAAGGGTTTTGAATGCATGTGGGACATGATTGGATTTGTATTTTAGAAAGATGACTAGTTTTTGAATGGAGGCCCATCATCATCATTGTCATCATTATCATCACTTACTAAGTATTAGGTCTTGTGCTGAGTGCTTTATGTATATTACACATTTCTTACTACAGCCTTACGATGTATGCAGTGTTACTGCCTTTGCCATTTCACAGGTGAGGAACCCAGGCACAGAGAGGCTAAGTAAGGAGTGAGTGAGGGATAGAGCTGGCATTTGAAGCAAAGCTGATTCCACGCTCTAAGCCCCTGTGTATCTTCCCTCCCATGCTGGGGCAGAGTTCTGACTAGAGTGAGGATGAGCCTCAAGATTAGTTGTGTGTAAGATTGCTGAGAGGGGTGGACTGGCTTATTGAAATCTTGAGACCATAGGAGGAGTTGATTTTAGAGCCTGTTTTCTTAACCTAAGTACCTTTCTGTAGAATGGAGATAATTTGAGGACAGGACAGTGTTTGGGAAGCTGTGTGGGTATTCCATGGGAGTGATGAGGAGGGAATGGTTTCTTTCTTAGAGGTCATGATTGGGTGGGAAGAGAGCAGAGGGGCATATCTGGGATTCCTCATCACATCATTCAGTTTTCTGGTGACTGCTATCTGGATGGCATATAAGTTTCCACAAAAAATTATTATTCTTGTTTTTAATATAACTCCTGATCTTATCCTCCACTAATAGCTAGCAGTATTGAATGTGTACCATGTGCCAGGCATAGTGCTAAGTATTTTATGCACACCTTTTTTTCTTACAACCTTATAAGATAAAGAATATTCTTTTACCCACTTCCTAGATAGTGAAACTGAGAGTAATGACATTAAATAATGATTTAAAATCACACAGTTAGTGAATGATGGCTCATCTAACAATAGTACCTCATATTTACTAGTAAAAACTCAGTATTTTTGTGGAATTAAATTTTATATAATTGTAAATTGTGTTCATTCTCCTTCTCCCTCCATTTATTAATTCATTAAGCAAAATGCCTAGCAATATGCTTGGTGCTAACCATCCTATATAATAAAGAGCTAATATGCAAATGGTCATCATGCCCTCACACCATAATGGCTCAGGCACTCAATACTGGGGACATAGGAATGGGGACCAGCCAGGTACAAATGAGCTTGTGAGAGAGGAATGGGGACCAGCCAGGCTGCTGCCCTGGAGAGGGACAAGCCGCCCGCCCCATGGTCCTGGGCACCAGCGCCTGCAACTGTGGCCCAGGGAAGCTATCTGCCCATGTTCCTCTGTGGCTATGGCTGGCCCTGGTCCTGGGTGCCTGCCGCTGGCCGGAGGAGGGAATCCTGGGTCCCAAGTGCGGGGCAAGGCAGAGGCAGTTAGAGATGATCAGGCCAGCAGGGAAGTAGTTAGGAACGATCAGGCAGGCAGGCAGAGGTGGTTAGGGGTGGTCAGACAGGCAGAAGTGGGTAGGGGAAATCGCACTGGTGGGCAGGCAAGCGGTTAGGAGCCAGTGGTCCTGGATTGTGAGAGGCAGTCAGACATTCCCCGAGGGGTCCCGGATTGGAGAGGGTGCAGGCTGGGCTGAGAGACCCTCCTCCCTCCCAGCCTGTGCACGAATTCCATGCACTGGGCCTCTAGTATAGAAATAAATAGGTCAGTTAAGGTCCTTGTTGTCAAGGTGATCATTCTAGTGGTTGAGAAAAAAAAAAAATAAAAAAAATCAAATGAATGAATAAGAACTCAGACAGTGACAAGTACCAAAAGAGTAAAGTGACCGGTAGTGCCCCTCAGGGAGCATGTCTGCTTCGGCTCAGTGGTTAAGGACAGTCTTTGCCAGGTGGCTGGAACATGTAAAAGGGGAGGAGTGTGATAGGAGGATGAGGTCAAGGAGGTGGGCAGGTGCTAGGACAAGTACGGATATGTAGGCAGTTCTGCAGAATTCAGCTTTTATTTTAAGGGCATTGAGAACCCACTGGGTGATTTATGGCAGGGAGTGGTAAGATGTGAGTTAATTCCATGGAAAAGGAACTGCGGAATGGAGACAGGCATAACAAGTAAGTGGTTCAGGTGAGAGGATGAACGGGGAGCCAGCGGTTGGTGAATGGGTAAGAGGTGGGAGAGTGTAGGGGGCATTTTTGTAAGTAGAGATGGTAATGCTGATCAAGAGAGTGGCCAAGGACCATACTTAGGTCTCAGATTTTCTCATGAGTGAGGGGACCTGAGCCCCAAAGCTGCCATCTAGGGTAGCAGGGAAGGGACTGACGATGAGTTCATGAGTTCGGTGTGGGGCCTGCAGAGTGAGCAGCCGGAAGCCCATGAGAGGGAACTGGGCTGAAGGTCTGTGACGCTCCAGTGCACCCATAAAAATGTACTTACTGTAAGTTCCTGGCTGAGATCAAAGGTTGCTTTTATGAGTGTTAGTCACAGTGTGTTGTGATCCTCTGTGTGACTTACCAGCATCCATCTCCCAGCAGCTCGGTGGATTTCGGGACTGCTGTCAGGACAGTCTCCCATGACGGCCCCTCCCGCATCAGCAGGCATGTCAGTGTTGGGAGGTTACACACGGCAAGGCATTCAGTTTCCTAAGCGCTTCATCCCCTCACACAAGCAGGACATAGGGACCTTTGCAATTTGTCATCCTAATAAACATGCCTGTAAGTAAACACGCTTGGTTTTTATTTCCTGAATTGCACCATCTTTTACATTTCTGGCGAAGTCCTTTATGATACACACACACACACGGGGAGAAAGAGAGTCTAATATCGGCCATCGACATCAATCCTTTCATTGCAGGAAGTCCCTCTGGCTGAGGGGGCGGGCAGAGGACTCCTGGTTTAGGTAAAACGGCAGACTTTGGGGGCCTTTTACAGGTGCATCAGGATAGTTCATGAGCCGGCACTGACAACTACTCTCAAATTGGATTTCTTTCAAATAAAAGTAATGCTGGTTTGCCCCTTGAGGACAGCTGATATTGGCTATAGTTTTGTAAGTATATGTGACCCAAAGGGGTGACCCTTGGGTGCTGCATCACTTGGACACATATGTTCCCATTCCCGTATGCCAGGGCAGGTCTCAGCATATAAACTCCCGGGGCACATGTGAGCTTAGCCTGGCTTCTGCTGGCTGGATGTGTTGCCTCTTTCTCTTGGGAATCTTACGCTTCCAGTTTAAACCTCAAGAGTTACTTATTGTAAGCTATAGAATATGCAGGTAGTTGCAGAGACTTATACCCAGTTAAATAAGGTATAAATATATGCGTTCATTTAAATGAGCCTGGTTGAGAAAGTAGATGCTCAATAAATATGAATAATCATGATGGCAATCAGGTTTCTTAAGTCAGAGTTATGGTTTGGGGGAATAAGTTAGTAGTTAACAAACAAACAAAAAACACACCATCTGCTGTCAGATTTTGCTGGAACAACGCATTTTACATGGAAGGTTTTTAATAGAAAAGGAACTTTCTTAAGTACCAAGCTCAATGGTGCTGAGCAGTGTTTCCAGTTCCCAGCCGGTTCTATCAGGCCTAAAATGGTGTCATGCTTTGGCTGCCACCTCCAAAGCTCAGAGATTGATTTTTCCCCTTGGTAATCAGCAGCTGTGATTAAGGGAGTGAGTGAAAAGTCTGAACAACGGTTCATGAAATAATCTGAATTTTAAAAGGCAGTAAAAGTTTAATAGTGAGGGGCCAGTCCCGAGACAAGAGCCATACCCATTATTGAATGGAGTGAATTTTATACAAAGACTTTTAAACTAGGCTGTTCTCGAGGTAACTAACTAAAAGGAAGAAAAAGAAAACCCTGAGATATAAATGTAGGAAATTCAGAAAGCCCTAAGAGCGAGAGTTTCTTTAAAGGGAGGCGGGGAGGAGTTTAAATTTAGGAATTTAGCTGGGGGATTGCCCTGCGGGGCTGAACCCCAGGTGTCTTCCAGAGAACTGGCTGGCTGGTGCTGCTGTGACTGAGGCAGGCGCAATGATGAGTGTTGAGAAAACAGCACACTAACTTTAGGTATTGCTGTGGAAAGCCAGGGAGACCTGGCAGCAGGTGGTTTTTTGGTAATGTATGGACTTATCCCCATACCTGGATCTGCTGTATGAAGAGGTGTTACTGGGGCGGTCATCCTGGGACCCCCTAGGGTTCAGGAAGTCCCGATTAAACAAAAGGAAACAAATAAGAAGAAACAAGTCCCTCCTTCTTCTTCCAGCTTTGTCGTTTCCCTCTGTCCCCCTCTAGTGGCAGAGCCGGACATGGTGCAGCTGGCAAAGCTCTCACATGGTTTGCAGAGCATCATGGAGGCATCACAAAGCCGAGTATGGAGGGCGGGTGTGGAGCTGTGCGATATCAACTACACACCTGGCATCAAGAGGAACTTATTCTGAAACACTTAAGCTGAACCTGCCCACACTGTTCTTTCAGTCCCTTAATTTCATTGTTTCTTCATGAGTTTGGGAGTCAGAGTTGGAATCATATGTTAGTTTTTACTTATGAGCTGTGTGACTATAAGCAAACTATTTAACTTCACTTATTGGTCTAGTATCGATATTTACTTAATAAAAACTCTCGATTGAGATATGATTGAGATGAAAAAAAGTTGCATATGTTTAATGTATATAATTTGATGAGTTTGGGGATAAGTACACATGCATGAAACCATCACCTCAATCAATGCCATAAACATACCTGTCACTTCCAAATTTTCTCCCTGCCCTCTTTTTGATGACAAGGACACTTAATACCTACTCTTTTAGCGAATATTAAAGCATACAGTACAGTATTGTTAATCTTAGACACTACTGTGTTTCCTCGAAAATAAGACATCCTCCAAAAATAAGACCTAGCACATGGAAAGATAAGACATCCCCTGAAAATAAGACCTAGCGCAACTTTGGGAGAAAAAATTAATATAAGACAGTCTTATTTTCGGGGAAACAGGGTAGGATGTACAGTAGATCCCCAAGACTTACCTTGCATAACTAAAACTTTGCAGCCTTTGACTATCACCTCCACATTTTCCCCACCGGCAAGCCCCTGGTAACCACTTCTACTCTCTGCTTCTATGTTTGACTCTTTCAGATTACGTATATAATGGGATGGTGTAGTATTTACTCTTCCGAGTCTGGCTTATTTAACTTAGCATAATGTCCTCTAGGTTCATCCATGTTGCTACAAGTGGCATGATTTCCTTCTTTCTTAATGTTGACTAATATTGCACTGTGTGTAATTCTATGTTTTTTTATTAATCTGTTGATGGATATTTAGGTTGATTTCATGTCTTGAGTATTGTGAATAATGTTGGCGAGGAGTGCTGATATCTCTTTGAGACCCTGATTTTAATTCATTGAACCTTCTTTAGTCTTAATTTACTCATTGACAAAAATATCTATTTCACAGGACTGATGTAAGTAATAAATGAAATTAGGTCTACATAAAGTTTACTTAGCTTGTGGTACAGCATATGACATTAAACAAGGGAAGGAAAAAAGAGAGGGAAATAACCAGGAGGAAAATATACATAGTTTCTATAATTTTTTTTTCTAATTGGTCACAGTGCTATAATTAATACCTAAACTCTCTTTTTCCACTACCCATTTCATGTTTTCTTTACCCTCAGCCGAATGTGGTTCTTTATTGCTGGACGTGATTTAAGTCTTTTCTTGAGAGGTCTGAGTGCACAGTGGTATTGGCTTTTTCAGGTTATCAGTAAGTGGTTAAATTAGTATATGTTGACTTCAGAATCCAAAAAAGCCCACCCAGAGCCATGTTTTCTAACTGAAGATAGTTCACAGGTGCAGCAGTATTGCTTTCATGTTGGAAGTGAAGCCTCAACATGTCTCAGACCAGTAGGTCGGCAAACTCATTAGTCAACAGAGCGCAAACCGCGGCTTGCGAGCCGCATGTGGCTCACAAGCCGAAGTTTGCCGACCACTGTTCTAGACCATTTGACTCCAAGAAACTTCACTGGGGTTGTAGTATGTTTTACTAAGACATGGGAAGTACTTGCTACTTCCTGCTCATCAGAAACAATTAGCACGATGTCACCAATGTAGTGGACTGATATGATGTTGTGTGGAATGTCAGGATGATTAGGATATATCCTGAGTATATTATGATAGAGGAGGTGCGCTGACATAGCCCCAAGGCAACACTCAGAAAGTTACTGTTAGTCATACCAGGTAAAAGCATATTGCTTCTGATTGTCCTTGTGAACTGACACGGAGAAAAAGGTATTGTTCATTCAAAAGATGCATACCAGGGGTCTGGGGCTACATTGCTTTGTTTCATTAAAGATACTCCATCTGGAACATCAGCTTCAATTGGGGTCACTACCTAAATTTTCTTTATCCAGCATTGGCCGATGGGGTTGCTTTCATGTTGTAGGTATTCTGTGAATACTAATGAATCATTATGCTGTTATTCTCTAAGATTTGCCTACTCTTTCCATAGGACAAACGATAAGTAATAATAAGTAGTTCTTGTTACATAATAAATAATTATTCTGTTATTCTTTGAGATTTGCCTTCTCTTTCCATAGGGCTTACAATAAGTAATAATTAATAAATAATTATTCTGTTATTTTTCTAAGAGTTGTCTACTCTTTCCATAGGACAAACACTTTTGTAAGTGGGGAGATGCTAGATATCACCACCCTGGCTTTATTCAAGTCTGATCGTGGTGCTCATTTTCCAAGTTTCCCCATGGATATAGAATCATTTTTAGTTTACTACTCAAGTAACAAGGAGACCTTCCAGGGGTTTCTACTTGGCCCTTTCTACCATATGAGCTTTATTCCTTAAGCCAGAGTGCTGATGTGGGGATTCTACCAATTGTCAAGCATGATTATTTCAATTATACGTTCACAGATTGGGGAATTAATCTGTAGACCTATTTTTCACACGTTCTTTTTTTTTTCTTTTTTTCTTTTTTCTGGATAGTAAGGTCTTCAAGGGTAAGAATTTTTCATCTTTCTGATTTCCATAAACACTTCTTTGAAAGTGGTGGTCCATAAATTTTTATTGAATGAATATACTACCTATGGCTTCAGTCTCTTTTTAAAAAGAAACAAGTGTATTTCTTACAAGTGGACATTCTTGAACTATAAGCAGTTATATAAGAGTGGAGACACTGACCATGATTTCTTTGCCTCGTATATAACATTTATTAAGAAATGACAGAAGACACTGCATCACAGGTATAATTAAAATAGCCAACAGGAAAGATCATTATGATCCCCCCACAAGGGGTGCAATCATAGGTTGAAATATGGGAAAGACTGGTCTACTTCTTAGAAGCTCAACGTTGCAAGAGCTTCCATTCTCTCTGGTGACATCTGAGGAATGTCGCTTGGCTATACTGTGGTGCCTTTACTGTTGAAAAAAAATTCTAGGTAAATAGAAGCTAAAAATAGATCACAAAGCAGGGGAAAGATAGACCTGTGGACAGCTCTCAAAGATAAAATCCACAATATGGCAGCAATTTTCAACCCTGCGGGAAAACCGGGAATAGTAGATCCAAAGCAATTTGATGATCAGCAGGTGGCTCACAGCACTTCTGTGTCCGCAGTGGAGAGTCAAGGTATTCCTTGTAGAGTGGAATCTGATAGAACTCATGGGCTTGATAGCCCCCATAACAGAAACCCAAGTAGAAGTGTAAGAACTTGTTGAGGTTTGTTGTTGAGGAGATACATTATTCAGCTACTGTGTCCTGGGCAGTTAAACATCACCAAGTTGGCTTCTTAGCAGGTGGGCTCACAGCAGTAGCAGCAGCAGGCTGGGCGGCAGCAGGACTGTCCACAGTAGGACGGGCGGCAGCAGGCGGCCTGGGCATGGTGCAGCTGGCAGCAGGTTGGGGGGGTGCAGCTCACCACACAGCAGGGGGGCAGGCAGGTGTCCTCCACGCGGCAGTCAGGGCGGCACCACCTGGTGCGGCAGCTCACACCTCCACAGCCACCATCCTGGCCACAGCCAGTGCCACAGCCGGTGCCACAGCAGCTGGTCTGGCAGCAGGTTGGCTGGCAGCAGCTGGTCTGGCAGCAGGTTGGCTGGCAGCAGCTGGGACCACAGGTCCCACAGGAGCAGCTGGGAAATCCACAGAAGCTGGTTTGACAGCAGGCCATGGTGTCAGGAGTTGGGGTGCTTGGAGGTTTGGTGGTGACTGCTGTGTTGAGCCTTTTATATATTCTGACCAGCTGGTATTTAGACAGCTCTTAACATATCTTCCTTGTTTTTGTTTAAATTTGCTCCTTAGTGGGCCTCTGATTGGCTTACATGTAAATGCTTATGACACATTATGAGCAGCAGTTTGGAAATTACTTTGTTTTATAGTTTATTTGGACTCTTCGGATCGGTCTTCTGCTCTTTGGAATAGGTTTGTGGTTTTCAAAGAGTCCTCCTATTTTTGTCCATGTCAACACACGTGCTTTATAGAGGTATTTTTTCCACATGACACTGTTCAGACCTCTAGGGCTAAGGATAATTGTGCTCCTTTAAAAAAAAAACAACTATTATTTCCCCCCCCCCGTCTGGATATATAGACTAAATTCTCTTGAATTTAGAACATCAGAACAACCACTGAGTTGAAAGCATGTCTTCTGCCATGCATAATTTAGTTTCCAAGTAATTTACTCCAACATCAAGTCCGATTCCCATTATAGTTCCTTTTATTTTTACCAACTTGAAATGTGCAAATACTATTTGTGTTTCAGGCCAAAAATCTTTTCGTGTGAACCAAATGACATAGTATATATAAAAATATCTGGCAGTGCTTACCTACTGGTGGTACCTCAGTGTTTATTGAATATGATTTTGAATGGGAGGAACAAAAGGCATGATTCATGGATGCCTGTACCACGTAACAGTGATTGAACAGAACTTGCAAGCTTAGTACCTCTCATGAAGGAGTCCTTGTTATTGTCAAAAGAGACCAGGAAATGCTGACAATTTTTTCCTGCATTTGATAGTTGAACCAAAGCTCAGGAAAAGCATCTTGGAATTATGACATTTTGAAGAATACACTGCCATTTACTTTATTCTGCTACTAATTAAATGGTAGAGGTAAGTGCTGGGAGCTTGTAAATAACTTGGGAAAGGTGTTTTAAAGTGATATTTTGCCATGTTGTATTTTGTATGCTGCACTCAAATACTTAAAAGTTAATTGGTAAAAGGTATTTTGGGTCAAGATTTGTGCTAACTCCTGAAGAGAACATCTTTCAAATTGGATTGCAAAGTGCAAAATATATAGTTGTTTTATTTTTCTAATACATGTGTCTGACAAATGGTGATGGTGCAATTCAATGGGTATCTACATAGTTGTTTATTCTATTTCATTTAGACCAGTGGTGCACCTTATACATACTTAAAATAGATGGAGGTCATTGTTGGGAGTTGAAGCTTAGAAATCAATTTGGGGGTCAGTGGGAAGAATATATTAGGGAAAGGCATAGGAATTAAAACCTAATGCTCTTGGAAAATAGTATCTGATAGTATCTGGTAGATACTTTCAAATCTATTTAGTTGATACCATAGTTTCTTTAAATATTAGGCATGCATGAAGGAGAACATCTAGTAGATTAAAGGGAAGGAGATTAAAAGTAATAGAAATCCCATTGCTTTGGTCAACTTGAACATTTTAGCTAAATGTGGCCTTATTCGTTTAGATTTAATCATAATAGATTTGGAGCATGTACATTTTTTAATAACTGCAAGTATTATTTAATGCATGGAACATCTCATTAACTGATGGGTAGAAGCATATTATTGTATTTTTCTGGTTTAGACTTTATGTTTATGCCTTAGGATTATTATCAAAGTGCAAATCCACTTCTCTTGAATTTCAGCTGAAAGTGGACAAGCTAAATGATAGAAGAAAATGACTCAGTTTGCTTACACAATTAAACATTTTATTTTAAATCAAGGGGGTTTTGAAGAAGAAAGCAGGTCTGAAAATGAGTGGGGATCATGAAATAGGGAGGAGGACAGAGCTGTCATTGATCTGACACTGATAAATACACGTTTTCAATGGGCGAATTCAGCACACCCAAGAGGGGCCTAAGACTTGTCATTTCTAAGCGACTTAGAAACATCGCGATACATAGCATCCAAGTAAAGTCGAACACTTCTTCAGAGATCAAGGCAATTTTCCCGAGTTGCTCCTTTCATTCGTAAGTACTCAGCAGCCTTCCTTTTAGCAGGTGGGCTCACAGCAGTAGCAGCAGCAGGCTGGGCGGCAGCAGGACTGTCCACAGTAGGACGGGCGGCAGCAGGCGGCCTGGGCATGGTGCAGCTGGCAGCAGGTTGGGGGGGTGCAGCTCACCACGCAGCAGGGGGGCAGGCAGGTGTCCTCCACGCGGCAGTCAGGGCGGCACCACCTGGTGCGGCAGCTCACACCTCCACAGCCATCATCCTGGCCACAGCCAGTGCCACAGCCGGTGCCACAGCAGCTGGTCTGGCAGCAGGTTGGCTGGCAGCAGCTGGTCTGGCAGCAGGTTGGCTGGCAGCAGCTGGTCTGGCAGCAGGTTGGCTGGCAGCAGCTGGTCTGGCAGCAGCTGGGGCCACAGGTCCCACAGGAGCAGCTGGGAAATCCACAGAAGCTGGTTTGACAGCAGGCCATAGTGTCAGGAGTTGGGTTGAGAGGTGTGTTGTTTAGAGAAGTTTCTGAGTTTTGGCTGCACCTCTACACCTGCCCTTTTATATAGTCCCCAGAGACACTCATTTTCCTCACATTTAGCATCTTTCCTTGAAACTATTTGCAAAGTCAGTCTCTGATTGGCTAATACCTGAGTTGTTTAGAAAGTTATAAATAGCATTTTAATAGGCTGCTTTGGTCATTGCTCAATTAAGTCTCATTTCGTTTCTTCTTTGCCCTGTGGGGCAAGTGAAGACTCATCGTGGAAGGCAATCACGGCAGCTCCTCTGTATGTTAGTCACATCAAGGACCAAACTTGAGCCAACCACTGCCTGGCTTGCTTTGTCCAATCTGTCCTTTGATAACCTTCAAGCAGAGTCTATAAACTGAACATTTTCTTTGTAGGCGGTCACTCAGTTAGGATTCTGATTCATAAACACATTGTCTAGACTTCAACGACATTAGTGTCATCAAGACTTGAGCACTCACTTGATTCATCAATATCCAAAAGAAGTATGCCTTTCTGTGATCAGAGGGGGGCAAGTTACAGGATCCTCAGAGCTCTAGCGGGCATTTGCCTTCATCATCAATGTACAGATTCCCAATTGAGACCCTAATGACTTCAGCTTGTGGATTGTTTTCTGACTGTACTAAATTAAGAATATATGTCGGTAAAGAACACATTTTAACAAGTCAGGCAGTACCAAAAGTTAATATTCCCTCCCCCTTCCCGAAATACACACATCTCTTCCAAAAGTAGTATTCCAGATGATAACCAATATTAAGTTCGGTTCTTGTTCTCCAATACTTTCTTCCCATTTTTGTAAACATGTAGCAGCATCTATGCACATAGATCTTCTAATTCAGTAGTTGGGGTCTCCTATACTACTTATTTTTAAACAACTTAATTGTAAAATACACATACAATTTATCATTTTAACCATTTTTAAGAGTGCAGCTCACTAGTGTTAAGTAAATTCACATTGTGAATTCGTTTTATCTTGCAAAACAGAAATTCCATATCCATTGAACAACTTTCTCATCTCCTCCCCAAACCCTTGACAACCACCATTCTACTCTGTGCCTTGGTGAATTTGACCACTCTTGGTATCTCATACAAGTAGGATCATCCAATATTTGTCTGTTTTGTGTCTGGCTTATATCACTTAGCATAATGCTCTCAAGAGTCATCCATGTTGTAGAATATGTCAGAATTTCCTTTTTAATGTGTCAGATTTTATAGTGTGGGCTTTTTGTATATGACTTTTATTATGAAGAGATAGTTTCCTTCTATTCTTAGTTTGTTGAGTATGTGTGTTGTTTTTTTTTTTAAATCATGAAAGACTGTTAAGTTTCATCAAATGTTTTCTCTGCACCTATTGAGATAAAGCATATGTTCTCTCCCCCAACCCCCTTCATTCTGCTATGTGATGTATTGGATTGAGTGATTTTCATATGTTGAAAATTTACTTGGTCATAGTGTATATCCTTTAATGTGCTTTTGAATTCTGTTTGATAGTATTCTGTCGAGGGATATTGCATCAATATTAATCAGGGATATTGATCTGTAATTTTCTTTTCTTATAGTGTCTATCTGACTTTGGTATCAAGGTAATGCTGGCTTCATAGAATGAGTTTGGAAGTGTTTCTCCTTTCATTTTTTTTAAGTGTTTGTTAGAATTCATTAGTAAAGCCAACTGATACTGGGATTTTCTCTTTTGGGATGTTGTTTATTACTCATTCAATCTCCTTCTTAGCTATAGCTCTGTTAAGATTTATGTATCTTCATGATTCATTTTGATAGGAAATACCCACTTAATCTAGATTATCCAATTTGTTGACCTATCCTATCATACCATTCCAGTTTCTTTTAAATAGTTATGTGGTATTCCTGAGTATGATCACACTGCCCTCTCTTCAGTCATCCCCTACTGATAAAATCTCAATTGTTTTTAGTTTGTGCTTTTGAATTTTAAGAAATCATAGAATTTTAAGCTGAAAGTAACTTTAAACAAGTCCAGAGTTAGGAGATTAGAAGTGGCCACATGATGTAGGGAACTGAGCTTTTAACTGAGAATTAAATTAATTCAACCAAAGAGGCTTCTCAAACTGGTTCTACCGTTAAGTGACTGAACCTCAGAAAAGTCACTTAATCCCTCTGAGCATTGGTTTGTTCATCTGTGAGATGAGATGCTCTCTCAGACACCTCCAGGGTGAAAATTGTGCTATTGCTCCACCAGATCATTGGTCCCTTAAGGACATGATTTTTTCATGTCCGGTTAGACTTGTTTTCCTCTATAGTAACTTCTGCACTATCTGAGTGCCAATGTTCAGTATGCACTTGCTGAATTAAAGAGGGAATGAATGATGAGGAGTGTATGATAATGATAAACATCCAAATTTGCCTCCTACTAAAGTCACTTGTTTATTTATTTATTTATTTATTTACTTACTTATTTATTTATTTTTCTCATCTTCCTTTCTGTTCTGGTGTTCAGGGAGTGTTTTCTGGATTTGATTAGATTTCTAGGTGCTGCGTCAGAGAAAGTGGTTCTTTGCTTACATGTTATCCTTTATCCATGCTTTCTATAATAATTACTTGATGTTTATTAACCTATAGATGAATAAAGCATTGGAATTTTAACCAAAATAATATATATATATATATATATTTTTTAATCCTCACCCAAGTTATGTTTATTGATTTTAGGGAGGAAGGGAGAGGGAGAGAAAGAGAAACATCATTTCGTGTCTCTGTATGCAGCCTGATGGGCAATTGAACCTGAAACCTACGTAATGTGCCCTGATTGAGAATCGAACTTGAAACTTTGTACACTTTTGGTGTACAGGATGAAATTCCAACCAACTGAACCATCCAGTCAGGGCCAAGGTAATATTCTTTAAAAAAAAGAATACCTTCAGTCTCATCCAGTTCTAATCCCAAGAAACCATGAATTAACCCTGATCCTTTCCCAAAAATTTGTGAAATATTTGCGATACTTGTGTTTAAATTCATTTTAGATATGTATTATATATAAATGCATGTATATGTATAATGCATATGTATTTCTGTTAAGCATACATTTTAAGCCAATGTGCAATATGTTGCTTCTAAAAAATAGAGCAAAATCTTTGTTATCCTCACCTTCAGTTTAGAAACTAGGGAAGAAAAGTTTCTGGAGTAAAAATCTCCATCTAATTAAAAGCATATTTTCTCAGAGAGGCTTCCCCAACTTGTAGTTTGCTTGCTTTATTCTGCAAGACCACATGCAGATGGAAGAGTGGGGTTTACTAGCCTAATTACCAGTGTTTGAAGATCGCCTGAAAGAGCATTCCTTTAACAGATGTGAAAAAATGACTCATATTCTGGCGCTAGAGTCAGAGGTCCTGGCTCTGTAGCTTTCTGGCTGTGAAAGCTCTGTGTGAGGTCAGGACTTGGTCATAGAGCTGAGCCACTTCTGAGGCCCTAGAACTGCCTTTTCTGAATGTTTTTATGGGGATGAACCTCCATTGGAGCTCATCAAAAATTTTCCTAACATTGTATAAGCAGAGCAGTGTGGCGTAGCAAAACCAGATTAAAATATTTTGCATGACTTTCTATGAAATATCATGATGAGCACACTCAAGGAAGAAAAACAGATATTCCTGCTGCACCAAATAAATATAATTTATTAGGTCTGAGTATAGTACTCCTCTTTTATGGGAAGTGCAGGTTGCAGGGTGGTAGAGTAGAGGAGGTGAATGCGTCTGAGAAGAATAGACAGTTTCTCCCCGGCCTGGCAGCACTGAGTCCTGGAGCGGGGGATCTGAAGGTCAAGCCCAATGCAAATTGGTTTTCTCATATCTTGAGTCAAATTTGTATTTGGCAGCTTCAGTGGGGAGATCAGGTCTGTGAGGCTCAAGTATTTGCTAACCCCCACAACAAAAGCCACACAAAAGTTCCAGAACTGGTTAGTGGTCCAGGGGTGGTTGAAGAAATAATTAGTTCATGGATGGAGTTGGAAGTTGAAACTTCAGGTTGAAAATCATTAACTTGGCTTTTAGCAGGTGGGCTCACAGCAGTAGCAGCAGCAGGCTGGGCGGCAGCAGGACTGTCCACAGTAGGACGGGCGGCAGCAGGCGGCCTGGGCATGGTGCAGCTGGCAGCAGGTTGGGGGGGTGCAGCTCACCACGCAGCAGGGGGGCAGGCAGGTGTCCTCCACGCGGCAGTCAGGGCGGCACCACCTGGTGCGGCAGCTCACACCTCCACAGCCACCATCCTGGCCACAGCCAGTGCCACAGCCGGTGCCACAGCAGCTGGTCTGGCAGCAGGTTGGCTGGCAGCAGCTGGTCTGGCAGCAGGTTGGCTGGCAGCAGCTGGTCTGGCAGCAGGTTGGCTGGCAGCAGCTGGGACCACAGGTCCCACAGGAGCAGCTGGGAAATCCACAGAAGCTGGTTTGACAGCAGGCCATGGTGTCAGGAGTTGGGTTGAGAGGTGCGGTACTCAGAGAAAATCTTTTAGTTTTGGTGATGACTTCTACGTTGGGCCTTTTATAAGCCTTGGCCAGCTATTATTTACATAATCCCGAAGTCTCTTTCCTGTTTGTTTTTAAATAACTTGTTTGTGAAGGATAATTGCCCTGTTCCTGAGTTATTTGTGCAACCTTCTGAAAGCCTTTAAAGGTTGATTTTATTTGGTCTTCATTTAGGATTTTTTACCGTGGCCCAGTAGTCATTAGCGTTCCTTGAGGACATAACCCCTAATTTCCCATATTCGTTACAATGTGCTCATTGCCCAGGGAATAATTGGCTGATGCCTCACCTTTAAGGAGTGTAAATATTACTCAATGTTGACCCTAATAATCGAGCTCTTGGGTCTCACATGACAGTTTGATGCTCAGCCACGTTGACAGCTGCCCCTTCCCTACCCTTTCTTCTTTTCCCTTTGCCAGAGCAGCAGAGTGATTCAGCTGGACAGAACGGAGGCTTCCATCGGGGGCTGGGAAATACAGATGAATTGTTCCTGAAAACATTTGTGAAACACTTGTGTCCAAACAGTTCTGAGTACTTTGCTTGCATCAATTGCTGTTATACCATCTCTATGAGGACAGTGAGCCACAAACAGATGTAAGTCGTTCGCCCAAGTTCACACTAACAAATGGTGAATCCGAAATCTGAACCATGCCATCTGACTCCAGACTAAACTTGCAACTATAATTCTTTTCCACGTAAGCAGATGTTCTAGGGAAAACCAATGGAAATTTGCCCTACTTCTTACAGACTTTTTGAGAGTAGAGGGAGGAAAGATAGAGTTTAGCATGAGTAATAACTCCGTGATTAGAGATTTCTCTGGAGATTTTATTTAATTTACTTCTAAAAATATATATTTTTTATTGATTTCAGAGAGGAAGGGAGATGGAGGGAGAGATAGAAATATCAATGATGAGAGAGAATAATTGATTGGCAGCCTCCTGCACGCCCTCCACAGGGGATTGAATTTACAATCCGGTCATATGCTCTGACCAGGAATCGCACTGTGACGTCCTGGGTCATAGGTCAATGCACAATCACTGAATCATGGCATCTGGGCAAGAGATTTTACTTTTTAAAAACTATATAATAGGTATACTTCAAGAAAATCTTAAGTGCTGAAAGAGTTAACATATGACTTGTGACTCTTGACTTGCGACTTCATCCAATAGATTTAAATGTTCTTTTCTTAAAATTGAGATATGATTGACATATTATATTAGTTTTAAGTGTACAACATGATTTGAAATCCTATATAATAAAAGGCTAATATGCAAATTTCCCCTCAAGAAGGAGTTTGACCAGGAGTTCAACTGGGAGTTTGACCAGGGGGTAGGGCCAGCCAGCCAACTGCCCCAGCCCCTCACCCTGGCCCACCCCATCCCTTATCCCTCCCCACCCTAATCAGGGGCAGGGCTGGCCAATCACCTTTGGCCCCTCTCGTCCCCCCCCCGCCCCCCGTTGGCCAGGCCCTAAGGGCCTGATTGGGATAGGCCAGCTGGACCCCACCTGTGCACAAATTTGTGCACTGGGCCTCTAGTATGTATATATTGTGAAATGATCACTACATCACCACAGTAAGTTAAGATCCATCACGACACAGAATTTTTTCCTTGTGCTGAGAATAAATGTTCCTAACTGCATAAAAATCACACTCATAATATATTAAAACTGGGGTATGTGACATATTATGGAGTGTTGGACCTAGAGTTTCAGTTTATTGTAGTTGTTAGAGACTAATCCAATGCCATATAGAGGGTTTGAATCAGAACGCCTAGTGTTAATTCTGCTTCTCTTGCAATGACAGCTTTGAGATCAGATCATGACTCTTCCCAGGTGAATTAAGACATTTTCAAATTCTATATCAAATGTGAATTGAAAGGTATGGTTCTTTGTGAATATTTTTGCTTTTCCTTTAGCAAATCTGTATCACCAATTCTTTAATTAGCTAATATTTCCATATTGGATGTTTTAAATATGTGGATTTCTTATTACTAAAATCTCAGGAGCTAATTCATACCTAAATCTAGCAGAATCCTTGATACTAAAATGATTTATCTTTTTTTGCACATATTTCAGATGTTTGAGGAGTTAAAATTCATACTGACAAGGACACTGGAGATAGAGTAGCATTATATATCCTATTTCCATTTATGTGCTTCTCTATCATGGAATTGCTTTCAACATTTTTCTCAATGAAAAATTTAACTCAAATTTTGTGTTTCTGGTCTTAAGTTGCCCAAGGAAAGAGCTGTAGGTTCAACAAGCTGTGTAATTCTTGTAATGTGCTAGTGGAGAATTCTATCTCTTTGACTTTAAAAAATTGAGGTGAAATTCTTTTAATCATATATTTTGGCTGCAGAATATTGGACCACTTAATGGCAAGACAAAGAATAACTACATTTTAAAGATGATTATTAAAAGCATAGAACTGAAAACACACAATGCTATGCCACATTTATTGAGATATTAGAAAATCCCAGTATCAATACAAGTTTAAAAGAAAAGAACTCTTCAACAATGATTTTATCACTGAAGAATGAAAATTTTTATTAAATCCCAAACCCAATGAGCTGTTGAAATATTTCAGGAGATATTTATGGTAATATATCATGCCTTCTTTTCAGATTGTAGGACTTCAGATGATATCCAGGTCCATGAAATAGTTTTGGTCTTCTATCATACATTAATATACATCGTAGGGAAATTACGCAGCTTTGTGACAAGAGGTTACAAGCTGGGTTATGAGTATTGGAGCTTAGAAGTTTGTTGATACTCTAACATTGGTTAGTTTGGATATGCCGTTTGCTCAGGATTCCCATCAGAAGGAAGTTTTTCAACAGGTGGGCTCACAGCAGTAGCAGCAGCAGGCTGGGCGGCAGCAGGACTGTCCACAGTAGGACGGGCGGCAGCAGGCGGCCTGGGCATGGTGCAGCTGGCAGCAGGTTGGGGGGGTGCAGCTCACCACGCAGCAGGGGGGCAGGCAGGTGTCCTCCACGCGGCAGTCAGGGCGGCACCACCTGGTGCGGCAGCTCACACCTCCACAGCCATCATCCTGGCCACAGCCAGTGCCACAGCCGGTGCCACAGCAGCTGGTCTGGCAGCAGGTTGGCTGGCAGCAGCTGGTCTGGCAGCAGCTGGGGCCACAGGTCCCACAGGAGCAGCTGGGAAATCCACAGAAGCTGGTTTGACAGCAGGCCATGGTGTCAGGAGTTAGGTTGAGAGGTGGGGTGCTCTGAGGAGTTTCTTAGTTTGGGCTCCTTGTTCCACTGGGACCTTTTATAGGCTTTGGCCACTTCTTTGTCATGGATAGCATTTTTCTCTTGTTACTCTTTAAACAAGCTTTCCCAGGGCCCTCTGATTATTCAGATACTGACTTATTTTAAACATATGTCTAAATTGGTTTTTCCTTATTGCTCAGCTGGTAGTACTCACCAAATGTGTCCAGTACTTCTTGGTAAGTTCTCCACTCCCCTCCCCCAAACAATGCTGTAATTTTTACTTAACAAAGTGACTCTCATTCACCAAATTTTTTCAGAAAAAAAATTTAACCATTGACTGTTATTGTTAACCATTGCATTTATGTAAGGCTATCTCCCCCATATATATATATATATATATATATATATATATATATATATATATATATATATATATATATTTTAATTGATTTCAGAGAGGAAAGGAGAAGGAGAGAGAGAAACATCAGTGATGAGAGAGAACACTGATCGGCTGCTTCCTGTATGTCCCACAGTGGGGACTGAGCCTGCATCCCTGGGCATGTGTCCTAACCAGGAATTGGACCGTGAACTCCTGATTCATAGGTCTACTCGCAGCCACTGAGCCTTGCTGGCCAGGCTATGTCAGGCTGTCTTTATGTTTGTTTAGATTAATAAGGTATCAGTCTCTACAATCACCCACGTAGAAACTCTGATATACTACCCTTCATAGAAATTAATAGATCTTTCTAGAAACTGGATCTTTCTAATTTCTATGCTCTCTCCTAAACTTCACACAGTCAGCTCTGAGGAAACATTTATCACTCAGGAAGATATAGGGAACAAAACCTGTTCCATTCCAATTTACTATGGATATTTTGTTATCAAAACTTTAAAATAAGGGCTAAAATTCATATCTAGTAATTAGGAAAAAAATCACAAAAATTTTAAGTGTAATTTATGTTTCTATGAAACATGAAAATCATTGCTGTACAGTTTATCTGGATAGTATTGATTTCTCAGAGGTGGGATTTATTTCAATTTACGTCATTTTATGTAACTACACCTTGTGTCTTATGGAAAAATATCAGACCAAAGAGCAAAACAATTTAATTATAAAGGGAATCAATAAGTGGCAGGAACTTGGAAATACTTTTTATGCTTATAGGGCAGGACAGAAAATGAGTGATAAAATATTGTACAATATGTGCAAAGTAAAATGGAAACAATTCCTAGTAGTTGGGTAAAAGAAAAAAATTGATGTTTATGGTTACAGGGGGAGAAATGAAAAAAACGTTATGTCGAAAAGAACATAGTGTTGCTACTTATGGAAGGCTTATTCCTTCCTTCCAATCATGAATAGATGTACATAGTTAGCTTTTATGAGATAGAGGTGTTGGATAATACAAGGATAGAATTAAAAGGTGATTCATGCCAATGTCAATAAAGATGTTCATGTCATATGAGAACCATGACTGTAGGTATGAAGTTGAAAAATGGTTAAATGTAATCATTACATATTAGAGATCAAAACATTAATAAATCATCTTGTCCAACCATTTCATTTTATAGGTACAGAAACTGACATCATTCTTTTTATAAATAGCACATGTTTATTAAATCCTATTACATATGAGGTACTAAAGTGTTATGTAGAAAGCAAAGCCTAATCTGTTCGCCTCACATTTGCTCTAGTGCACAAATCAGTATAGTATTGATAGGAGGGATTGATCAAGGAAAAGAGTCAAATATAGTACCCATTTAATCTCAAAGTTCTAAATTGGGACATTGGTGCTAATGTTATGAACTACTTTTAATTCCTTCTGAACATCAGTTGATGTTAAAATACCATTGAGTCTAGAAATGGCTGCATTTTGGAGAGATTATTGACTTGCTACATTCACATAGCCAGTACATAGCCAGAAGAGCTAGGTATAAAATACTTATCCTTCGCTTCTAAATCTGTTCCATTTTATTTTCTGTTGCTGTCCAGATTTAGAGTTAGTAAAATTCATTGTCTCCTGTTTTAAAAGTATTTTACAATGGCTCAAGAATGTGAATATTACTGGAAGGCAGAATACATGGTGGAGTAGTGCTTTTAAACACACAGTAAATAAGCATAAGTATGTTAACTTTCTTTCAGGTGTCTGCTTATCAAAAAAGTTCCATCTAGAACTGCTTCCTAATTGTTTCTTATTTCCCACATTGGGACTAGCTAATATTCCTCCAGAGTTTCTAGGTCTGCCATCCTCTTTGTGTCTTCTTTATTCTATTGCCATCATCTTAGTTCAGCTCTCAATTTGTTTCTGTGTAGTCATCATATGTATTGCCTCTGGTCTTCTGTTTTTAAAAGCAGTGACCATAGGAACTGCCCCAATGTCCAACTCCTGTCATACCATTCCCCTGCCTCACGGCTTTCAACAGCTCCTTAGTGCTTATTGCCTTGAGGGCATATTCATTTGGTTAATACTCAAAGCACAAAAAGTTTCCAAATTTACCTTCTACTGTTAGTCTATATATATATCCAGTGCCCTCAGGCAACTCTTCTCTGAACAACCTGTCTATACCTGTGTGCATACTGTTTCCATAGTTGAGAAGGCCATCTTCCTTCAGAACTGTACCCCAAAATCTTAATGCTTATAAAATGCCGGGTTCTCCTTTCAGTCTTTCTTGTTCTGCATTGATTTCTTGTTGATACCAAATAGGGTGTTGTGCTTTGACTTTTTTCATATTCTAATTTTTAGTTGATTGATTATTAATTTGATTCACCTTTCTGGAAGTTTCTTGAAGAGGGGAACATTTAAAAGTCAATTTTGCTTTCTATTATCTACCATATCGTGTGTAACTTGCAAATGGTAGTCAATCAGCACATTTATTAAAATTTAATGAACAAAATTAGAATGAATAAATAAAACCAAAGCTGTGATTGCTAGGCCAAAGAAGAGAAGTTTATTAGAAACCAAACATGCCAAAAAGACCTAAGATCTAAGATGGAAAGAAAGAAGTTGTTATTATGACCAACACTTGAGAACAGCCCAACTCTTAATAGATGAGTTTGGATCTCCATGCAACTTCTGGCTGACTTGAGGTCCTAATGGCTCAGGGTAGGAGTTTTGTTGGGTAGAGAAGGTTGATTGCTTGCTCTAAGCAGCTCAGCAGCAACAGGAGGGGCAGGTCCTGCAGGTGGTGCGGCAGGGGGCAGGCTGGCAGCAGGGTGGCCGGCAGCAGGGCGCCTGCACACAGATGGGCTGGCAGCAGGTGGAGGCCCAGCAGCAGGGGCGGCACACAATGGCCGTGCAGGACGTGGGGCAGCAGGTGATGGGGCGGCAGCAGCCCTCCTGCAGGCCACAGGGGTCACAGCAGATGGGGCGGCGGCAGGGCTCACAGATGGGGCGTGTGCAGCGGGGCACGCAGGTCACAGGGCGGCACACGGTGGTCTGGCAGCAGCAGGGGCGGCAGCAGCAGGGATCTCGGCAGCAGCAGGGCTGGCAGCAGCAGGGCTGGCAGCAGCAGGGCTGGCAGCAGCCTTCCTCACAGCTGGAGCAGGTGGAGCCACAGCAGGAGCCGGTCATGGTGGTGTCTGGGGGTGGGCTGGGTTTGACTGGTGAGAGGAGTTGGGTGTTCTCAGGTGTGAATGTCTTCCTCCCCCACAGGGTCCCTTATATACCCTGGCCTGGTGCTGGTGGCCCCTCTTGTTTACCTTTGACCAATTAACTAGAAGTTTGTTTTGACTAATGGCTGCATTGCTCATGACAGACTCATGATCTCATTAAGGAATTATTTTCGTACGGCAAATATGGATATGTTTATGCTGTTTATTATAAAAATGTAAGCAGTCACAGTCGTTTCAGATGATAGCATCTTTTGATGCTCATTTTGAGTAGAGGGCACCTGATGAATCCTGGACAGATGGTTCTACAGGAATTGCAATTTTTAAAAGAAATTAAACATAATATAGGGGTTTATAGAACAATGACTAGATCCTAAAGTTGGCCCTCAAAGAGTTTTCTGAAAAGCCTACATGTTAATCACACAGGTATTGCACATGTCCTTCCTTGGAACTACATATTACTTGCTATAAAGAAATGTATGTATACTTAGAATAAGACCGCAGCTCATACACTTGTATGGGAAGCAAAAACTCTGTTTTTGTAAACCACGTAAGTATTGGAATAAAGCATCCAAGACTGCCATCCATTTTTTATTTCTTTTCTCTAGTTCATACCGTGCATATCTCTGGTCCTTCTGATCACAGAATGATGGTCATGAGACATGGCATTTTAAAAAATATGTACCATATTTTTCGGACCATAAGACGCTCTGGACCATAAGACGCACCAGTTTTTAGAGAAGGGAAATGAAGAAAAAAAGATTCTGAAACAAATAGTGTCCTAAAATATTTTATGTGCATTAAAACCCAACATCACAGTCATAAACACATGTAATCAACCCTGTAAAGTAAACAGCAGCATTTAGAACCATTTTAGAGCCGGGCAAGCACACAGAGACCACACAGAGCCGGGCAAGTAAAAAAACTTTTTTTTTTTTAAAGTTTATGTGTAGGCTATATTTGGACCATAAGACGCAGGGACTTTTCCCCCCCACTTCTGGGGGGAAAAAAGTGCGTCTTATGGTCCGAAAAATACGGTATATGTATATATTTTTATTTCAGAGAGGAAGGGAAAGGGATAGATAGAAACATCAGTGATGAGAGAATCATTGATTGGCCGCCTCCTTCATGTCCCCTACTGGAGACCAAGCCTGCAACCCAGCATGTGGGGAATCGAACCATGACCTCCTGTTCATGCTCAACCACTGAGCCATACTGGCCGGGAAAGAGATATGGTATTTTTTATACTTGGTTTTCTTGTGTATGTGATCAAGAATGATGTCATGAGAAGCTTTTTCTTAATTTACCTGCGCATGGTGCTATGACTAAGAAGTGACAAGATGGGGGTTTCCCACCAGCAATGCAAACATGTGCCATACCTTATTCAGAGGCATTGCCTTGGGAGCTCACACAGCTGCTCTGCCATGGCTCAGCCAGACATGTGACGGACACGCTTCTCCTGGAGGCAGAGACAGAGACAGAGGCAGAAAGGAATTGCATGGAAACAACCTCATTCCTCCTCTGTGTCACCCCTCCTATTAGTCACCAGCCAGGATTGGGGATCACTTCGGGATCTTTCTCATTATTCAGAAAAATGTGCCTTGGGCCCCAGGAGCCAAAGCTCCCTAAATGGAATTTCAAACATAATTTCAAATCTTTAAAAGGGATGTAAATGACTAAACGTGTAGTCACCACTGGGGAAAACAGAAGAGGGAGAAGTCAAGCGGTCTCATCAGTGAAGACGTTTGATTTGCTCACATGTCACATTCTTTCTCTTGTCCATAGACACACGTGATTTTTTTAAATTAATTAATTAATTAATTTATTTATTTATTACATATTTTATTGATTTTTTTTGCCCCCCTTCCTCCTTCCCACACATCCCCTCCCTCCCCAGAGTTTTATGTCCATTGGTTGTACTTATATGCATGTATACAAGTCCTTCGGTTGATCTATTATTTCCCCCAGATCTTCCTCCCCTCCCCACTGTAATTTGACAGTCTGCCTGTTGTTTTACTTTCTCTATATCTGTCTCTTGGTTCATCAGTTTATAATGATCTTTATCATCCACCAATGAGTGAGGTCATGTGGTGTTTCTCTTTCATTGATTGGCTTATTTCACTCAGCATGATGTTCTCCAATTCCTTCCAGGTTGCTGCAAATGATGAGAATTCCTTCTTTTTTATGGCAGCATAGTATTCCATTATGTAGATGTACCATAGTTTTTGGATCCAATCATCTGCTGACGGGCACCTAGGCTGTTTCCAAATTCTGGCTATTGTAGATTGTGCTGCTATGAACATAGGGGTGCAAATATCCTTTCTGATTGGTGTTTCTAGTTTCTTGGGATATATTCCTAGAAGGACACATGTGATTTTTTCAAAGCAGTAACCAGAGCCTAGATAAAAATTGGTATATTCTGCTTTCTTCCCTCCCCCAGGTTTATTAAGGTATAATTGATATATAATCTCGAATAAGTAAAATGTATATCGTGACGACTTGACACATACATGTTGCAAAATGTTCACTCCAGTAAGGTTAATGAACATATCCTTCACCTCCATAATTATTTTGTGGTGGTGGTGGTGAGAACATCAAAGCTCTGCTTTCATAGCAACTTTCAAGTATACAATAGAGTGTTGTTAACTATATTGTATTGTATGTCGTCCATGTATGTTGTACATGTCGATCCCTGAACTTATTCACCTTATAACTGGAAGTTTGTATCCTTTGGCCAGCACTCCCATCTCTCCTACACCTCAGCCCTTGGCAACCACCTTCCTATACTCTGTTCCCATAAGTCCTATGATTTTTGGTTACATGTATAATGCCATTAATGCCCAAAGATAAGCAGCTCTTGGGAGTTGGTGTGGATTTACAATCCACAAGAGTGGATTCTAATTAACAATCAGATGCTAAACATCGCAGGGAATGCACTATCCGGTGCCATTACTCTTGGCCTCAGAAGACGGGAGAGCTCTTCTGGCCAGAGGAGCTACACTAACGGGCGTGTTAGACTTAAAGGCTTATGTCAGGGGGCTGGCCTCTCCTGGGTCTTTTCTGAGCCTTGGTGGTTATGATTACATTAAAATTATGTTACCAAGGACTTACTTCATGTCTCATTACTCATTGCTCCTCAGCTTCAAAACCAGATGATTGGCCAGATGTCACCTAAGATTCCTTTCAGCTCATAGAAAGGCACTGGGCTTTCTATGCTGTGCCAGCGGGTGCCAGGCCAGTGAAGAAACCCTCGGACTGGGCTCCCTATGTCAGACAAGAGCCTTCTTACTGATCATTCAGAAGGCGTTTTGTGTGTCTGATAATGAACGCAAGTAACTCTGTACATGTGATGAAAATGTAGCCATGTCCACCTTCCTCACTCAGCACCTGGGCCTTATAAATGCTGTTTAGAGGGATAACAAGGAAACTAAGCAGACTTAGATTATTGCATAAAACAGTGGAAGATGTTTATTTGACATTTTGTTTTGAAGTTCTCTGGTCAAAACAGAGAGACAGAAACCCATGGAAAGGAAACACCACAACGACCATGATTCCTATGCTGTGAGCACAAAGTTTATTTGAAAACAGACATCATGGTTTGGAGCTGGACCAGGGCACTCTTCACTGGCAGTTAGCCTGGAAAGGTGTCTCCAGGAGCTGTTTGAAGAAATGAGAGATGGTCTTCTCAAGAAAGGCCATGTTGTTCTGCAGTGAAGCTAAGGGACAGCGGGATGGACCTGGCCATCTACTGAGGGGCCTTGGGGACGATGCACGCTCAGCAGCAGCAGGAGGGGCAGGTCCTGCAGGTGGTGCGGCAGGGGGCAGGCTGGCAGCAGGGGGGCCGGCAGCAGGGCGCCTGCACACAGATGGGCTGGCAGCAGGTGGAGGCCCAGCAGCAGGGGCGGCACACAATGGCCGTGCAGGACGTGGGGCAGCAGGTGATGGGGCGGCAGCAGCCCTCCTGCAGGCCACAGGGGTCACAGCAGATGGGGCGGCGGCAGGGCTCACAGATGGGGCGTGTGCAGTGGGGCACGCAGGTCACGGGGCGGCACACGGTGGTCTGGCAGCAGCAGGGGCGGCAGCAGCAGGGATCTCGGCAGCAGCAGGGCTGGCAGCAGCAGGGCTGGCAGCAGCCTCCCCCACAGCTGGAGCAGGTGGAGCCACAGCAGGAGCCGGTCATGGTGGTGCCTGGGGTTGGGATGGGCTGGACTGGTGAGAGGAGTTGGGTGTTCTCAGGTGTGAATGTCTTCCTCCCCCACAGGGTCCCTTATATACCCTGGCCTGGTGCTGGTGGCCTCCAGGACCCAAGATTATTTCCTTGTTTTTGTGTATTTATTTTGAAATGACACTGATAGGCTAATAAGTTTCTAGATACTGTTTTTGGTATGCAGGTACTCATAAAAGACTTTGTTTTCCTTTTTTGGTCAAGACTCATTATGTTTTGCTACTTATAGTTCAAATCTGGACTTACCGGTAATGATCTTAACTTCAAAGTCTCCAATTATCTTTATTAACTTAGCGATGCTTTGCCAATTGGTGTTTTGATAGCCCAAGAGTAGCTGTCGTGCTCTTAGGGATACTTATTGACCAGGAAGTGGATTCCCGAGTTGAGTGTCCTTTTGCACTGCTAAGCCTCCTGCCCAAAATAAGTTCAGAAAAATACTAAAGGATGTTTTTAAAGTCGTGATTTGTCAGGAAAAAAAGAAATTTCAGTCTATGTTTTGGAGCTAAAGGAATGCATCCTCCTAAACTTCTATCATCAGTGTTTCTTTTTATTACATTTTTAAAAAACATAGAATGTTTGGTAAAATCCATGTGACATAAAATGGACTATCATTGCCATTTTTGTGTATACAGTCCAGTGACATTAAATACTGTCATATTATTGTGTATGTATCGATCTCCCGAACTCTTTCTACTTATAAACTAAAACTCTACCCATTAAACACCAATTTTCTCTCC